TCAATTGTCGTTTGAGTGATGTGGTGTTGTTCTTCTCGAAGAAGTTCCACAAGGCAGACTTCCTTGGAAGGTGTAGGCACAGCACACACACACGTCAAAAGGCTTGATCGAACTATCTCATATTCACTTTGCAATTTCATCAAGAATTGATCGGGTTAGGTGTCCTTATTAGCCTTTTGAAAATCTGGAAGAGAAGTTGGGGCAATTGTGGAATATATCAATTGGCTATATTCAGTCCACAAAATCATGAGACCAGAATAATAGTTGTATAGAAAAAATCCCACATTTCCTTTGAAGTTTTATAAGGCCGTAGATTGACAACAATATGTTGATCAACACTACAGCGCTTAATTAATATCCAACTCATAATCCTTACGTCATTGCTCTCCCACTGACTCTTTTTGGTAGAGTTAGTGGGTTTTTACCAACTGACTCATCTGTGTCCCCAAAGATTTTTACCTCTCACAAAGAGCCAAAGCTGGATCTCCCACGAGAAGTAATTCTTCCCATTGAATTTAACAACCCTCTCAATCATGATTGATTCGTAGAGTATCAATTACGAAACCAGAATCAAAAGAGAGAGACTACAGGGCAGACATTGTGCACAGAAGTAACAAGAAAACCCAGTAAGATAACCCCTTTTTTTTCTCCAAAAAGAAAACTCTAGAATGCCTTTGATACCATGACAAAATGACACAACTTTGAAGAATAAGACTAAGAAACAATGAATTCTGAGTGATTGATTGCCATACCCTTGTAGGCCTCTTCAATATATAGAATATGTATTCTATGTTTGTTATCTTTACAATCAATGGTTCCCTTTGATTGGGGAAATACATAGCTAGCATCTACATAAAAGGAGATATATTGATTCCCTTTGATTAAGAAATCAACTTGCAAGGTATTAAGAAATCCCCCTTTGACTGAGAATTTATATAATCAAACATATCTATCTATACTCTATAGTATACTATTAATAAAAGTACCTTAACATCAAAAACTTTTGATTCAATTTTACCCTCATAAAGAATTAAAAAGACCACTTTATCCTTTCACACATAATATCTAAATTATCATCGTATCCTTATGCATTTCAATCTCCAAATTACATAAATGGTCACTTTTAATTATCAATTTTTTATTTTTAAATATAAATTTTTATAAAACTTTTTGCTTGACTATATTGCTATTAAAAAATATATGCATTATAATAAGTTTTAATAAAATATTCAAAAAAAACTNTAAGAAATCCCCCTTTGACTGAGAATTTATATAATCAAACATATCTATCTATACTCTATAGTATACTATTAATAAAAGTACCTTAACATCAAAAACTTTTGATTCAATTTTACCCTCATAAAGAATTAAAAAGACCACTTTATCCTTTCACACATAATATCTAAATTATCATCGTATCCTTATGCATTTCAATCTCCAAATTACATATATGGTCACTTTTAATTATCAATTTTTTATTTTTAAATATAAATTTTTATAAAACTTTTTGCTTGACTATATTACTATTAAAAAATATATGCATTATAATAAGTTTTAATAAAATATTCAAAAAAAACTTTTAAAAACTCCAACAATCTAACATTACTTATCTCATTAATAAAGATGACATTATGACTACATATGTATATTTTTTTTTTCATCAAAATGTTTAACCTTTTAATTTTTAAGATAAAAAATAATGTATATATAGTTTTACATATTTTTTCGAATTGTGTTAAGATTTTATGTGAAAATAGATTGAAGTATATTTTTAAGGAAAACTTGAAATTTTTTAAAATTTAAATATATTATAGCGTAATATATTAAATATTATCTCAATTGACCTAACTAATTCTAAATACAGTAAGGTTCTAATATGATTTGTATATTGACAATTATTTGTATTTTATTCAATGTTATATAAATATAATCTTAATCACATTAATTTTAAAAATTTTAATTTTCAAACATCACTAAAATATCACTTTCAAATACAAAATTATAGAAACAAAATTAGAACTTTAATTATTTATTTATTTTTTATCCTTTTTGTTGAAGTTAGAACAATAAATCTTTGGAACATACAAAGTTTTCAAAAATTCTATAATAGAATATGAGTGATACAAAAATAAGTTTGATAAATTTGAGATGATATTTAATTTAGGTATACATATATCAAATATTGATTTATTAATTTTTGTCTAAAAAATTATTTATGTGTGTGGCTTATTACTGGTAACATGAAAGGAAAGACAATCAGTGTTGACACCAACGCCCTTGGCTAACAAGGACTAAACTAGGTAATAATGCTTTTTAGTCAAGCTTCATTTGAGTAGCCGATGGCGTTATAAGTATTGCTGCTATGCATAATGACCATCATAGTTGCTTATCACCATAGTTGGGGNCCCCCCCCCCAAAAAAAAAAAAAAGAATCACAAACAACCACCAACCTGCATGTTTCTCTATTATGACCTGTCTCGAGCTCTTTACATGTGCTACTCTTGCAGGGAGCATTTGATATGGTTAAAATCTCTGGCCGCTACTCTTGGAAAGAGGACGGCCAAGTGCAGGAAAGTTGCAATTTGCTAGTTACTTTTGCTGATTCAGATTTCAATGTTTTTGGTGGTCCTCTGATTGGTCCATTAATTGCAGCAACACCTGTGCAGGTTTGTCTGCTTCTCTATTTACATACCCTTTTGTTGGTTCCACATCACGATATCANCCTGTGCAGGTTTGTCTGCTTCTCTATTTACATACCCTTTTGTTAGTTCCACATCACGATATCACGTGGACATCATCTTTTGAGTCTGCTGTTTTCTCTTTTTGTTTCTTGCAAAATATCATTTTTTTCTCCCCCTTGGTGCTNCACGTGGACATCATCTTTTGAGTCTGCTGTTTTCTCTTTTTGTTTCTTGCAAAATATAATTTTTTGTCTCCCCCTTGGTGCCATGGTTTAGATATTGGACTTCGCTGGCGGTTCTCATTTGGTGTAGTTTGACATGTAAAAGTTTTCCCAAGTTCTTATGTATAATCATCTAATCACAGATATGTCAAAAGCAATCAATATATACATCTGTACGAATCAATCTCTCTTTCTAGCTTGGACTTTAAAAACTGGGTTTGGTTGATTTCACTTGACTAGTAATATGTTTATATCTTTCTTCACATGCACCAGCATAATCCTGGGCTCAATTAATTTCGCTTCATTAGTGGTATTTCTGTATTTATCTTCATATATAGTATGAATTCCTTTCAACGTTGGATATAGCATCATAGATTATCGACGAGGAACTTTGTTTTTCCCTCTTTGGGTGAAGGCAGCACTGGCTACTAAAGGGATGCCGGACCACCCACCCCTGCCTTCCATAACCCCCAAAACTGAAAAGGGTAGTAGCCCAAGAGGTTGCTTGTAGACTACCTGCTGGCATCATAATACATCCATCCACCTCTGACCCTAAATCTTTTTCCAATAAGGCAATTTATAGACTTCTTACCATTCTCAACTCATTTGTTTGTGAGGAGGAAAATATTATGACATATATGTTTCATTGCAGGTAACATTAGGAAGCTTTATAAATTGATGCGATGCGGGCTGAAATAGGCCCAAGAAAGAAAAATTCTAGAGAAAGGACAAAATGAGAATTGGGTAATTCAAGGCTGCAGCTGATGATATTTAATTTAGGGACGATTTTAGCCATTTTGTCTATGGGCTGTATGTAGAATGGATTGCCAGATGGGGCTTTTGCTGGTTTACTTGTAGTCAGTGGCCAAGTTTGGAAGGTCTAACGAAGAGTCCAGAAACTTGATGCTTAGGCCACAATTTATGGGTTTTAAATGATGGTCACCAAGCACATGTTGATCGTCTATATTAGTTTTCATATATATTAATTGTTGAATTGTCTTCCTTTTAATGCAGATATCTTCATGGGTGCGCCCGCTATTTCCTCGTCGACGTCGAGGAGAACGAACACGTCAATTTTTAAGATTTCAAAATAACAATCATAAATTAAGTATTATTCAAGTTTGATANGTTGAATTGTCTTCCTTTTAATGCAGATATCTTCATGGGTGCGCCCGCTATTTCCTCATCGACGTCGAGGAGAACGAGAACACGTCAATTTTTAAGATCTCAAAATAACAATCATAAATTAAGTATTATTCAAGTTTGATACATATCCATCTCCAAAAAGTAAAAGATTGGTGTTAAGTATGTTTGATTAAAACTCCAAAACAAATATAGACAACAAAATTAAACTTGAATTCGTGAATTAGTAAACTTCAATTAACGAATTTGGTAAAATGAGGTGATGAATTCTTGGAAAATCTACAATTGACAAGTATGAAGGGGAAAAAAGGGGAGGAGGAAAGTCAAAAAAAACCCTTGTCCTATATTTTTTTTTTCTCTCGAAGATGGGTATTGATCTGTCTTTTATGCACAGTAGTAGCCTAGCCTTGAATTTAACGAAATCAGCAGAGAATATCAAGAGGCGTTGGAAAGATTTCAGTCCACGGTTTTAAGAAGCAAAAGTACAGCAAACAAAGTTGACATTGTCTCCAAGCAACTAAGGACGACACCCATTGGCGAAGACAACCTCCCTTGTGCTCGCTACCACTACCACTGCAACATGTCAAAATTGTTACAAAACTCCAACGTCGACATCTGAACCAACATTATCTAAAAACTCTAGTAGATTCTACAATCATTACAGCATTATATATCGAGGGTAAACTTAGCAATAGCAACCATATATCAACCTGGTGCACAACCCCGACGATATAAAAGACCATGTACCAAATTGCTTCTCCATACAAAATAAAAACGCCCACAATTTTCTTACACTACAGTCGATATTTTAACTTGATTTAAGGATACAAGAAAACTGGTACCTACATGCAGAGGAGAAAATTGTCTCTAGAGAAAACTTGGACAGACAGTAATTTATGTCTTCACTATTGCCGACCAATAGTGACCCTTTTCTGCAGGCTGCTGCCTAATACTTCTAGACAAGTAGAACAGCATTAATACAACCATCATTCTCAGGATTATTTGTCACCTGAGCATACTTTCCTGCATCCACCACGTATAAGCAAATAAAATTTAAAATATATGATGGAAGGAGAAAGAATAACATTTATTTAAGAGGAAACAGAAAAGGAAAATCGTACCCCATACAACTTTTCCAGCAGGTGTGACCAGACCAAGTTCACTGACATTCACCTGATATCAAGGACAGAAATCTGAATGAATTAAGACAACAACTAGGTTGAATTCAAGCCAAAAACATAACCAAAATAAGCAGCATTTACCTCGATAATAGTTCCTTGGGTCACAACACCAAGAGAGGTATACATTTGACCATTTGGATTTTTCTTTACGCCTATGATCTCAAGATTAAAAGTGCATTTGAGTTCAGGGTGCGTTACATGAGCTTTGGTGAAGCGCAACCCTGTGGGACGGATGAAACGCTCATACTTAGGAGGTTTTCTTGTGAAGCTTGGTCCAACAAATGTGACTTTGGTGACCATCCTCTTCCACTGCTTCGCTGTAAAGGGGAATGGGGCATAAATGAGTAAACAACTACCACATCATTCGTGCTGAAATAGGTAACAAAACTTGCAAAAGAAGACAGTGTGCAGAATACTTACTTTTCCGTTTACCAGATCTGATTACTCTAAACATTTCATCTTCGGCCACAGGCCTGACCTGAAAAGTTGAAACAGCTCTCATTTACCAAGTTTTATAATCGTCAAGTAGCAAAAAGTTGACCATGTGTTATCAATTGGGCCCAAGCTTTTTAAAATTGAGATCCTATATCTGATCGATAAATGATCGGGATATTAGGATTGGACCTAGAATCATAAAATCGTACAAACCGAAGAAATGGGACTAAAAATATATGTAACAACATAGAACTCTTAAAACAGAAATTAAAAAACTTAGATATATGTGTGAAATGTATAATGTCATGACAAACATATAGAATGCAAAAAATATTATTAAAACTTGTAAAATTACAGTCTCAATATTGAAGGGCACAGAAAATCAAAAGTGAGTTGTTCATCTAGTCGGATTTTGTGAAGAGAGGTAGAAGAATTGGATTTTGATATTAACTTTAAGAAAGGTGAAGACAAAGGGGAGACTGGAAAACTCGAGAGACTGTGTAGTAAACAATTTGACTATTTGATATCCCACAAAAAAAACAATGGACAATAAAAATGGAATGAAGAAAACAAAACCAACTATTATTTTCTACCCTTCAATGAGAGACAAAAGAATGAAGANAAAACTCGAGAGACTGTGTAGTAAACAATTTGACTATTTGATATCCCACAAAAAAAAAATGGACAATAAAAATGGAATGAAGAAAACAAAACCAACTATTATTTTCTACCCTTCAATGAGAGACAAAAGAATGAAGAAGCTTTTTCTAACAAAGGGAAACTATAGCTTTGAGAGGACAGAATGAATAACCTCCTTTGATTTTCTAAATAATAAAGCCTTCGACCTTTGTATCCGTTCGCCAAATCTTGTTTAGTTCCATCCAAACTCGGTTTTGCCTGAATCTTCGTCATAAGCTGTGGCTCGATATAGATGGTTTGAATCAAGCGAAACCAAAGCCATTCGTCCCGAGAAGCTAAGGATCGAAGACTCTTGGGATATAGACCGGCTTGTTGGCTTGTCGGACATAGTCCGAGGAGGTGTCGGTGAATACGCCTAACAAATAAACCCAACCACCTGGGATCAATAAAATCGTAATTGGGGTCAAGATCCTAAAATCCTACATGACCTGGTTCAGGATCCATTTAAATTTTATGTCCTAAGGATTTTCAAGAGACTCAGGTCGATTTGCAAATAGTAGAGCTTAGGATCCAACGATCCGGATCAAAATTTTGATAACCATGAATGGGCTACATTGACTTTGTTAACAATTTCATTGATCGGTGTTAACAATTGAGCGACAATTGCTTTAGTGTCAAGTCTGGGAACCAAGCTGAGAAAATTGGAATAACTTGCGTACCTCTGACCCTGAACTAGAGAGGTGAAATGTAAAATTTTCCCACGGTAAAATTATTAAATGCAGGCGTGGTTGCTTGAACTATGTTGTGTGCATGGTTGAGTTGTACCAGTATTTACTAAATCTGCCAGTTTCCTCTTTTATCCAAGGAAAAACTCCTAAAAATCCACTAAAAATAGCACACTGTGCCTTTTTCCAGTGCTAGACGTGCATGGAGGATCCAACAAGCATTACTAAGTAATAAACAAAAGCCATGCAGGATAATGAAGGAAGCAAACATCATAAAGCTATATTATGAAAAAGTTTAAGTAACCATACCTTGGGTAGAGGTACCTCCCATTTGCCAGCTTTCTCCTTCCTCTTCTGCTTAATGGTGTTGCTAAGAACCTAAAAAAGGAAAAAGTCAAATAAGTTGTAGTATATGGTCAACAATAATTTGTACTCACAACTATGCATAAACAAGAGCAATAGCAAAAGCAATCCAATCAATTAAGTAGCCATACCTTTGCCCGAGTAGTTGTTTCACGATCAAGAAGGTAGGCAGGAACAGCTCCTTCATGAACTTCGTCATCAACCTTACGTCTCGCTGATGATTCTTCGTGCATAGACAATCTGGCAACAAAGTATACATAAAATCTAGAATCAAACCTCACCCACAATACATCCTCTAAACATTAATTGGCCACAGAAAAATACAGATATAAATTCAATAATCATAAAATGAACAAACAAAAGATAATGGGCTCCTTAAGGCTTACACATACATAAATCTGACTTAAACATACTTGAAAAAACAACTATAAAGCACATGTACCTTTTATTGCTTATTTAAGCTACACACACAGATACTTCAATCTAAATGTATGCATGTGAAGGTGTAGATGTAGACATAGAAGTATTGAGAATATTTCAATCATACATAATAGACTGCTTTCACAATGGTAACCACAGTTAACTTTGCCTTATTATAATGGTCCTCAGTTCCTTACTGAATTATCTCTCTCACCTACTCAAGCTTCAAAAAGAAAAGTAGTAGGGGTAAAAGAAGTCCAGGGGTGTAAATACCATAACTGCTATAAGAAAAAAGAAAAAACCATGCTCCGTAAGATATGTAAGAATTTCTCAATCTAAAGAAATGGTATTAGGAGGCTAACATCACATATGAACAAAAAAATAACGCAGATAATGTTAGCCATATCATAATTCCTTCCTGCCGTAATTGATGGCATATGATATAATTTCTATGGACTTTATCATTGCACATCATCACAATAGATGGAGCCACACAAATCCCCCACACCTATGCCAAAAGACTTTTGTCACTTTTCCTATCTTTAACATCTTCTGAACGTGTAGAATAGTTCAATTTTTATTTTTCTTTGGAGAGAGAACTCTAATCTACTTCCGCTTTTTGAGTTGGTCATGGAGTTTTTCTTCAAAGGGGATAGCAGCAATCAATATGATGTAACTCAGTTCAGCTTTTGATGGATATTTCCTGTTCCATTATGTTTATCTCTCTAAATTTCACCAAGGAATCTCTAAGTCCATAGTTGTCAACATGTTTTACCAATTACTTAACATACAATGAAGAAGAAAATGTTTAAGCAATGGCATCTAGCCCTGAAGGTACATCACCATGTGACTTATCTTAGTTTTCAATGTATCAGCCAACAACATATTTATCTCCAGTATCACCNGGCATCTAGCCCTGAAGGTACATCACCATGTGACTTATCTTAGTTTTCAATGTATCAAACAACATATTTATCTCCAGTATCACCTCAACAAAATAACAAAAAATAGTAATGCTATACTCAGGGAAATTCTGAACTACCTAAGCTCTTTGATTGATGACCTAACAAAGGACATTATCTCACTGATAAAAACAGGTGTAAAATTGTCATGAATATCTTAGCGACTATTGAAACTTTGAAAATTCGAAAATTGTCCGTGCCAACGAAGTCAAAATAGTAATAATTAAAAAAAAAGAAGAGAACAAAAATAGAAGAAAAATTAAACCCAAGAACCTCTCACAACCCAATCCCTCCCTCTTAAACTTCTAGACTAGGAAGTACGAATATGGACACAGGTGTCGTATCCGATACGATATGAACACAGAGATACGACAAAATTTTAAAATATAGGACACGNGAACAAAAATAGAAGAAAAATTAAACCCAAGAACCTCTCACAACCCAATCCCTCCCTCTTAAACTTCTAGACTAGGAAGTACGAATACGGACACAGGTGTCGTATCCGATACGATATGAACACAGAGATACGACGAAATTTTAAAATATAGGACACAGGGTACGGCTAATTAAAATAATATAATATTTTTTTATATATATAATAACATTAATAATAAAATTATGAAATTAATTAATATTTTATAACTAGACAAATGAGTTAATATTAAATTTAATAAGTGGACTAAATGTTATGAGCAATGATTTGGGGGGCTAAACATTATTAGCTGTGGGCTAGACTAATAAGAAGTCTAATTGTTCGGGTGACATAACGGGGAGAGAGAGAGAGAGAGAGAGAGAGAGAGAACGATGCTNGTACGGCTAATTAAAATAATATAATATTTTTTTATATATATAATAACATTAATAATAAAATTATGAAATTAATTAATATTTTATAACTAGACAAATGAGTTAATATTAAATTTAATAAGTGGACTAAATGTTATGAGCAATGATTTGGGGGGCTAAACATTATTAGCTGTGGGCTAGACTAATAAGAAGTCTAATTGTTCGGGTGACATAACGGGGAGAGAGAGAGAGAGAGAGAGAACGATGCCGCGAGCATCTAGGGCAAGCCAATCACACCAATCGCACAGAGAGAGAGCCGATCACATCAACTCGATCTATGAGAGATTTGATGGCATCAAGCCTCCAAAAGCATCCGGAAGATGAATCCCAAAGTACCCATGTCTGATCTCAGGTTTGTGGCGAGTCGTATAAGTAGAAGAAGATGAAATATGTGGCTGATCTTAGGTCTGTAACGTCTTCTACCCTTTTTTTTTTAATTAGGTTTCAATAAAGATCTATAGCCATATCACCCCGTATCCGACTCGTATCCATCCACAAAATCAACTTGATTATTGTTTAGGACACTTGTGGAAGTGTAGGACACGTGTCCCGCCGTGTCCAACGCGTATTTGTGTCGGACACGTGTCCGACACCGCCACATCGACCTTCGGAGGAGTATCCGTGCTTCCTAACTTCTAGAGCACTTGTTGGTCTCCACAAAGAATTTCTCCTACAATCGATGGACTTCATCCATTTTTCAGNATTTATATAATATTATTTAATATTTTTTAACAATTATAAAATACCTATTTTTTGCCTACAATACTCGTTAAACTGTTATTTTTTGTCTACAATTGTGCACATTGATATAAATTTATATTTTTTACGGTATAAATTGATATTTTTAAACTTTGAGGGTACAAATTGATATTCAAGTGATGTTTTAAAGTGTAAATTGAAATTAGCCCAAAAAATTCATAATGACAGTTACATGCGAAGAATTAAATTCACACGTCATAAATTTGAATCTAATGGTCCGTTTGATTGGATTGATGAAAAATAGAAGAAATAGAAAAACAAGAAGAATATATTTTCCTTCCTCAAAGGAAAGAAATACATATTTCCTCTTTTTTATTTGGTAAGAAAGATGAAAAATATGAGAGATATACTTTCTATAATTTAGTATTGGATGGAAAATGAAAGGAAAGGAAAAATATGTACATACAAAATTACTACTCTACCCTTACTAACCTTGTAATATATTGGGCAACTAATGTTTCTTGCAATGAACAATTAATGACTCATTTGTGCTAACATGTTGCGAAAGATTATTGGGAGATGTTTGTGGGGATCCATTATTGGAAATGAATTGCCAGGGGCAAAAAGAAGAAGTCAAAATTCAATTTTCTTTTAAATATTAGATGAGAATTTTTTTACAAAAGGATATCTAACCAATAACCTTATTTTTTTTTATAATAAGAAAATTAGTAAATATCTAGAATTAAGGTCATACAACTATGCACTCCTTCCTTCATTAGTTTGCCAATACATAATACAACCATTTCTTGTGCAAGTCGTGTGCATATCAACAATTTGATCACTCAATTGTTGAACCAACGTAGCTTAAAAAATATGATCAAAAGCTCTTTTTAAGTACCAACTAGCAATCCCTATTCATATGCAAAATTAATCAAATCATGGTAAACCTTGAAAGATTGCTAAGCCACAATCTTCTTACAAAGGACAAAACTTGCTTGCTCATTTTTTTAACAGAAAAATGCATGATGATGGCTCCAATACTTGACACCTGAATTTTTGTACCCATGCTTTAATTGAATAAGCAAACAGTGACCACAAACCTTACTCTAACCAAATAGAACTAAATCAAATGCTTCAAAACGCTGCTCATTTTCATTTTAGAAGTTGCATATATAACTCATCTTTCTATACTTGACACCTATAGTTTTGTACCACGCCTTTAAATTAAATAATCAAACAAGAAAGCAACTCAAAACAGTAACCATAGCCCATACTGCAACCAAATAGAACTAAAATTACTCAAATGAAATGGATTTAAAAATGTTGAAGTGGGACATGTGTATATAAGCTTCAAAAGTACCAAGATACATGGACAAGAAATTTTTATAGCCAAAACAAGAAAATAAGATCTTACCAAGAAACAAAACATGGTATTTCCACTGATCTGTCCATGCAAGTATATAGTAAAAAGTCCCAAAACATAATATTTGTTATACACACTTTACATATTTTGGTCGGTGACAACTTGAAATCTTTTTTCTCTTTACAAAAGTCACCAACCTATAGTATAAGGTCCATACTTATCCAAGTTTGAACACAAAAAGGCTAGATTACCAGCATACAACATCCAAAATGCACATATTGTAGTAAGTAGGTATCATGTCTCAAAAACAATGTAGACCACTCTTTCAAAGTTCTTCAAGAGTTGTTTAATTCAGTCATCAATTTGCTCAAAAGCTCCAAACGAAGGTTTGATGGGACAACAAAAAATGCTCTCATGTTGGCCTGACTCTTAATCAAGAATAGAAATGCATCCACTTGAAGTGATCCTGGAACTCCAATATTTTGTAATTCAGCAAATACTTCCTCCTTAGTGCAGCAACGTGGCCTACCTCTCTCTACAACAGCTATTCCCTTCTCTGCAATGGCATTTCCCTCATTGATCGCCTACGCCACATTATTAATTCCATTATTGACACTTTCAATATGCTTGTCCATCACATCTAACGTACTTGCCTTTCGTTTGAAACTTTTTGATGATGTAGCTGTTTGTGAGGTAGCTTGAAAAGGTGTAGAAATAGGAGAAATTGGCTCAAAGTTCAAGCTAAATTCATCAACTCCATCATTAAGATCTATTAGATTATCATTTTCCTCCCTTTTCCATTGANCCATGAACGACATAAATTAGTATCAATATGCACAGGAGATTTTATACCATCATCCACTTTGCAGTTAAAAAAATTTGGAATAATTATAAATTGTACCTTTAAAGTTTAAATATTTTATATTTATGATTAAAAAAAAAT